AATATGGCATGGCATGGTGGTGCTGACTAGACTTTTTAAGCACATGTAAGTATTTTATTCAATATTCATACAATGTTAGCAAAGTTGACTAACGGCGTTAGTCAAAGATATTAATGTGGTAACAATTTGAAAGTACTAATGTAATAAAAAATTCTTGAGGTGCTAATATGATAAAAATTATAAAATTTAAGGTCAAATAGGTATTTAATCCTTTTATGGATTAAATCCAAATCCAATAATACATACATGACAATCAAATCTATTGACACAGTACACACTTATTATCAATATTGATCAATTATCAAATTCAAACCTAATTACCCATTAAATCAACGGCCATTAATATGATTACCTATTCAATTTAATTTAAAAAAAAAAACCAATAATTTTATTATAGTTATTACTGTAATTTTGATCAATTGTAGTATGAGGAGTATTTTTGTATTTACGATAGGAAGGGTATTATAGTAATTTTAAAAAATTATGATAGGATGGGTATTTTTATAATTATGGTAGTAAGGGCATCATAGTAATTTTACTAAATTATGATAGGAAGGGCATCATCATAATTTCAATTAATTTATGGTAAGATGGACATTTATCTAATTAAGAAAAAATAATATTATAATCATTTAGGAGACATATTAACTCTTAATCAAAGAACTATGAGGGCATTTTGATAATCTCAATGAGATTAGTAATTTAATATGTAATTAATTTTATATTATGTTAAAATTTAATAAATGTAATTTAATAAAAGTTTTATAACAATTTTCAAATAAAATTTCACATATCAAATTTCTATGAAATGATGATAAGGGTATTTAAATTTAATATGTAGATTAAAAATGATATTATAATACTTTTCAAATAAAATAATACATGTCAATTTCTTATGAAGCAATCATAAGGACATTTTTGTAGTTATAGTAAAGAGCATTATAGTGATTTTTACTAATTTTGGTAGAGGGGCATTTTTGTAATTAAGATAAAAGAACACTAGAGCAATTTTAGTTAATCATGGTAGTAGAGACATTTTCGTAATTATAATATAAAAAATATTATAGTAATTTTAGTCAATTATAAGATGAAAGGCATTTTAGGAAGACATTATAGCAATTTAGGTCAATCATAATAGTAAGGATATTTTTTTAATTATAGTAGGATGGGCATTATAGTAATTTTAACCAATTTTAGGATGAAAGACATTTTCTTAATTATGACATAAAGGTATCATAGTAATTCATCATTTATAAGAGGGGTATTTTCATCATTTAAGACATATAAGGCATTATAGTGACTTATAATTTATAAGAGTGGTATTTTTGTCATTTTAAAAAAAAGGGCATTATAGTAGTTGGGAAAATCTAAATATACCCTTATTTTTCTCTCTACACTCCACTTTTTTTAAAAAAAGAATTATAAGTAAAATTACTTAAATACCTTTATCTCAAGTTTTATAACTTTGAAAATTTTATTTCTGAAAAGTCATAACGCTTATTAAAAAATGTATTTATAAGAAATCATAACATTTCTCAAAAATGCATTTCCAACAAAATCATAAAACTTTTCAAAAATGCATTTTCGAAAGTGTTTGAGGGAAATTTTATGAAAAATTACAAAAAAATAATTTATTAAAATTATTATTAGGAAATCATAAATCTTAAAATTAATAAAAAAGTTACTTTTACTTTTTTTATTTTAGAGAAAGAATAATATCTTATGACATTCGAATTAAATTAAATATAAAATAACAAATATAAGTTTTTTGTAAATTTAAAATTTATCATTTCTTAATAAATATTTTTTTGTATTGATTATTAAAATTTTATAATAGCTTTAATTAAAATGAACTCCTTGGAGAAATCTCTCCATCACTTATCACAATAGATTGCTCTAATTAAAATATTAGATTTTGATAAAATTGTGTAATATTCAATAGTATTACTTATACAATTTTGAGTTTCAACTCTTATATATTAATAAAATCTAATAGCTTTTTTATTACCATTCATAACATCAAAAGATAAAATATAATTAGAAACTTATAAAATTTTTATTTTTTATCCATAAGATCAAAATAGTGAAAATAATTTTTTTATTAATTTTAAAATTTATAATTTTTTTCTAATAATAACTTTTTTATCAAACTAATTTATAAATAATTTTAATAATTTTTTTTTATAAATTTTTATAAAATTTATAACTTCTCAAAAAAATATTGTTGAGAAATATTATGACCTTTTAAAAACAGTGGATATTCAAAAACTTGTAAAAAACGTATTTAAATAATTTTACCTATAAAAATTAAAAAAAGTACAAGGTAAAAAGAAAAAAGATAGGGTGTAAATAAAAGTTCTCATAGTAGTTTATCATTTAAAAGATGGATATTTTGTCATCATATATATATTATATTACAATATATATTGTTACCAGATAATATTTGTTGACATGGACGTTTACGTGAATAGTTTTTTTTTTACACATAAGATATTTATTAATTTTAAATTATTTATAAAAAATATATTTTAAAAATCATTAAATTATCTAAAATTTTAAAATTTAATCAAAAATCAATTTAAATTCTAATGAAATTCCTTTTTCCTGTACATCACATCATTTCAATTTAAATCCAATTTTAAAGTAATTTATCTTTTCTAATTTATCTGCACATAACATGATTATTTAAATTTATCACAACTTTTAAAAATATTATTTAATATCTTTAATATTTTTATAAATAATCTTTACATTATCTTTAACTTTTAAATATATTAGTTATAGATAAAGATAATTTTAATAAACAATCCACTAGTTTTAAAAAATAAATTTAGATATATTTGAATTAAAATAAAATTTAAATTTAAATAAATATTTGCCATAAACTTTTAATATTAATATTTTAAGAAAATATAAAAAAAATGATATAAATACCAAAACAACTTTAGAAAAGCCCTTATTGTTGGTAGTTCTTAGTTATATAACTTTTTAAATGTCCTACAAAGCATATCCACTAAATGTATTTTCCCGACATTAACTTAATCTCTTTTTTTATTAGTTTATTCTTGCTAATTACTATAAGAACTAATATGTGTTTTTTTTTTAATGATAAGTACTATTTCATTAAACATACTATTCACTCCATCATGTAGATTTTTTTTTCAAATGAGCTGTAACATTTCTTTTTTCTATTTGTCAATTCATAATAAATTTAATTAGAACCTACTTAAGCTAATATCTTGTTTTATTGTAATTTAAAAAAAATAAAAAGTAAACTCAATAAACTTGTTTCATTTATTTTTACAGATAAAATAATAGTGCACAACAAAATAACAATAAGAAGAAAATTTGTGTTAGATAACTTTTAAACTCTAATAAGCTATATTGGTCACTTTGATGGAATTTTTTGAGTTTAGAGTTATCAAGTAATTATCTTATTAGATATTTCTTTTTGGAGGATAAAAGTATAAAACACCAAAATTTAAATATTATTATCTGATTAGATATTATCTATAAACAAAAATATTATTTAAATATATTTATGGATTAAAGTTTATTAAGATTTAAATGAAAAATCAATTTAAATATAAGATAATTAAATAGATAAAATTATTATTTAAATGTATTTATGGATTAAATAAAATTATATAGCTTAATTCTTTACCAATTTCCCATTCAATTTATTTTTCAAACAATATTTCATCTTCTCATAGACTTTAGTCTTACTCATTTATTGCTCTTCCATTTATGGTCTTCCATTTAAGGTTGATTTATTTTTTCTTTTCTACTTGGTTTAGGTAAACTCTCTTAGTTTAATTTTGAATTTTTTTGGCCATATATTACAGTATACAAAACTACAAATACACATATATTCTTATATTTTTATCGGTATTGTCTGTAGATTTTTTATTTTTTCGTAGATTCTTCACTTAATCAGGTAATAAATTTTGTTTTTTAATTGATTATTTATTCAATATTTTCTATTCGTATAAAATAAAAATAATGCTTTGATTAATTGATATAATATAGTTGTATATCAATTTGATTTATTTCATTTTTTTCTATCAAAAAAGTTGTGGAACTCTTTGTTTCTTTGCAAATGTTTTATTCTTCAAAATTTTGTTATTGAATAAAATTTTCTTTGCTATTTTTTGTAAAAGTATTATTCTTTTTAAAATTTTAAAGTTTTATCAAGTTGAACTTTTCTTTTATTTTAATTTTTGTAATGGATAACGGATTCAGTGGAGGAACGGATTCAGTGGAGGTGTAAAAAATTTTGTATAAGATGTCAACTTTAAAATAATTGGAAGGCACAAATATTTGAAAAGTTATATAAATGCTGAAAATTATAATATTACTAAAACTTTTACAAAAAAATCTATAGATATTAGTAAGTTATCACGTATATTATTTAAATATTTAAAATTATTATTTTTCTTAAATAAATAAAACTTATCTTAAAATTATATAAATCTACAATTTTATAAAAATGATAAAAGAAATCGAAGATGATGCAAATTAAATAAAGTTCATCTGAAGTGACAAGACTTTTAATTTTATTTTAATATTTTGTTAGTATATTTAATAATATTATTTATCAGATCTTTTGGATTTTGTTTTCTCCAATATTATTTATTGTATATTTTAAAATTTATTAATTTATTAATTGAAAATTTTATTTTTTATTATGATTTAATATTTTAATTATATTATTTATATTTTACATATATTTTGCATATATTTTGAACATGTAAATAATTTAATAATATTAATTTATATTTTTATTTAAATTTAAATAAAATAAAAAAAAATTATGCACGGGTAACAAGCTACTTTAATATAAGAGGAGCATTATTGCCTTTTTGGACAAGTGTCAACTAATTAGTCAAAAATTAGAAGGGTAAAATAAACATTTCAATGGAGATTACCATCTATTACAGTTATAGGTCGAAAAGTTCTATTTACATCCCAAATATTTTTCTTTGCACATTTTTTTTACACAACATTCAAAAAAATTTTTGGGGGTGTATTTAGAAGCAACTTTCCATATTTCCCAACCGAGAAAAAAAAAAGAAAAAAAGAAAAAAAACCCTCGAAGCAAAAGAGTTAGAAAACAATCTCTCTTTCTTTCTCTCTCAGTTAAGAAACACATTTTTTTGTTCCAACATTGCTGTCCCCTTCCACAACTTAAACCTCTGATAGCAAAGCCTGTGAAAGATCTATCTATATATCATCGCTCTAACTTTTGCAACCAAAAAAAAAAAAAAAACAAAAAACCTTAAAATATGGCAGCCCCTCCACAAATCGCAGTTCTGGGAGCTGGAATATTCGTAAAAAGCCAATACATCCCCAGACTCGCCGAGATCGCCCATCTCCTCTCCCTCAAATACATCTGGAGTCGTACAGAGGTTTCTTTTTCCCTTCCTTTCGATTCAAAACTAACTTTTTTTTTTTTTTTAATATTTCTGACTGTTTATTAAAAAATTGGTAATGGTTTCATCTTTAATAACGAGAAGGAATCTTCGAAAGTAGCTGTTGAGATAGCGAAGCAGCATTTCCCTGGAGTTGAATGTAAATGGGGAGACCAAGGTCTAAACGACATCATTCAAGACGCTTATCTTCTTGGGGTTGCTGTCGTTTTGGCTGGCCAAGCTCAGGTTCTTTAATTCACCTCACTATTACTGTATCACTAAACTTTTTTTATGTTTATATAATTGTAATATGGGTCATCTGACTAATCATCAAGGAAAAAAAATAAAAGATCGGCCGTCTTTTATGATAGAATTTGGATATGGGTCTAACATGCACGTTGAGATGAATGTGACAATATCTTAATGAAATGTAGGGAAAATCACCACTTTTATGATCAATTACTATGCTGAATGTGAAAATATTTCTATAGGTATTGCGTTAATATGTGCCTTCAGGGAACTCATTAGCATTGGCCTTTATGCATTTGAGAACATTTTAAGGTAAAATAGTTTGAAATAGCGTAGGATCTGTATAATAACTAAAAAATATATATTCATTATTAGGTGAATGCTTACGCCATGTAGTTATTGGGCTGTTGCTGCCTTTTTTCTATAACCAGCAATTTGAATGGCCATATCTAAGTTTATACTGCAAGGTTTAAGGCTTTATCTAACTGTTGATTTTGCTACTTTTTTAATTTTTGCTTTTGAACAATCTTGCAGAGAAACTATTACTTTGATAGACAACAAATTCAATCACATCATAAAAATATAACTGATTACCTAATCTTTTATTTTCATAATTGCTAATCATCATTTACGGGTATTATCATTGTTTGGTATTTTACCTTCCTTCTCATTTTTATCTAATCTTTTAGTCAATAACCTTACTCTTGCAATATGTCTATCTCTTTCTAAAAGAATTTTTCATGTGAAGTTTATGTTTTCAGAAACACTAAGCAGATGTAAATGACTTGAAAAATTAATAGGGATGATGCTATTTAGATTTGAATACAAATCCTAATGGCAAATAATTTTAGCAAATACCCTTTGGATGTCCTGCTTACTTTCCTTCACCAAACCATTGCCCAATTTATCATTCAAGAGTGAAGTGAAGGCATTAACATTATAAGCATTACTGAATTGTTGTTGTTGCTTACATATGAAACAAACCATGCAGGTAGATATCTCACTGAAGTTGCTAAAAGCAGGGAAGCATGTCATTCAAGGTGAGATATGTTGTATGTTCTAACCTTAAGGGAAAGCAAGTTATTTTCATTATTCCTTTAGTGAGGTTCATAGGCTTTTTATAGTTTAGACTTATTTTGTATTGAATCTGTGTAAATTCAACCTTCTCCTACTTTTTCCTTAAAAAAAATCCAACAAAATTTCACCCCCTTTTCTTTTTTCTTGAATGAAAGGAGTGAAAGGCAGATGATGCATCTTAGATCTGTGGTAGTGCATAGCTAGAATAATCATACATTAGACTATATAATTAGAATATTAGTCTTGGTGTTCTATTGTGCAATGTACTGAGTTTCCTTTTCTTTTTTCTTGAATGAAAGGAATGAAATACAGATGATGCATCTTAGACCTGTTGTAGTACATAGCTAGAATAATTATACATTAAACTATATAATTAGAATATTAGTCTTGGTGTTCTATTGTGCAATATACTAAGTTTCCTTTTCTTTTTTCTTGAATGAAATGAATGAAAGACAGATAATGCATCTTAGACTTGTTGTAGTACATAGCTAGAATAATCATTCATTAGACTACATAATTAGAATATTAGTCTTGGTGTTCTATTGTGCAATGTACTAAGTTTCCTTTTTGTTTTGGATGTGCTATGTGTATTGCTTGGCTAACTCGTGGATCCCTAGAGAAACCTGCGGCAGCTAGTAAGTTCCATACTATTTCAGTTGAAATTGGTTATATGGTTTCTAATTTTAGAACATGGTGTTTGTTTCTTTTGTTCTCTAAATTTTTACTTATTACAATTCTAACCAGAACATGAACTAAAGAAGCATTAACAAAAGATAGAATGCACAAAATGCTAGAAGTTGGAAATAAGGATAAGAAGTAAAGTAAATCTTACCGTTCAGTTCTCCACAACTTGCAGGTTGTTGTAGTACAAATTTAGTGTGTTCTGACAATAATGTCTGCTTTCTGCCATCTCCTCAGACAGCAAAAATAAAGAAAGAAAAGCAAAGATTTGTTTAAGGTTGTGCCATTTGCGAACTTCACTTTTCCAGAGAGGCAAACATATTTTGCTTCCAGAAATAATTTTTTTGCTCTTTGGTTCTCAAGAACAAAATTTTCAAGATTCCACAGTGACCTGTCATTAGTATTTGAAGTAATTATTTTGAATTTGTGATAATTTTTTTTAACTCAGAAACATCAAGTAGACATGCACATATCAAAACTTATTCTTTGCTCTTGTTTTCCATTTTTGGTTACTTTTGCTTGTAAGGAAATCTAGAAAAACTGGGTGAAAAAAATCAGCTTTTAGAAAGCCATAGTGAAGAGTAATTGATTCTAAATATCACTGCATGCTTATTGAAGATAGTCAGCTTAGTCATAAGTTATCCCATTTCAATAAATGGCTAGGCAGTTAGTGAATACAGAATAAATCTTGGTCAGTTTGAAGCTGAAACAGTCTACCAAATCATAGAAAAATCAATCTTGATTATTGAGTCTTATTTGATTAAAAGCACTGATCTAATTTCCTGCTTCATCTTAATCATAATAAAGATTCCTTTTTGGTAACAATATATCATCCCTGTATGATGTTGGAAAGAAGTTATTGCCATTGCCTTTAGATTATATTTGGCAATCTTCTAAAGTCATCTCCCATTCGAACAAACACTTTGAAGTTAATCCGTTGCTTTTGTCTATATGTACTATTTCTGTCAGTTCAAAACCTAAAACTTTTTTTTTTTTTTGAATGTGAAGATTTCCATCAGTCTTGTTTCCTTTCTTATTTTCATAACAAGGAATAAGCAACCCCAAATCAAAATTGCCAATTTTTGGTATCTACAAAACGTTATTGATAAATCACTTCGTGATTCCTTTTTGTATAGATTGTGTGCTGCTTTGAGCTTTTAAAATAATTTCTCTCTCAAACTCTTCTACACAACATGCCCCACCCCCAAACCCCCCCCCCAAAAAAAAAAATATATATATATATATATATCTCATTTCATTAGCAAGTGGGATGATTTTATTTTGTAGGCACGCCTAAGATAGAAACGGCACTTGCTAGTTACAATTCCATTTGTACCAAACCTGGTCAACCAATTTGGTCTGTAGCAGAAAACTATAGATTTGAACTGGCCTTTGTAGAGGTACGATTTTGCATATTCCTCGTTTTGTTCTATCTATACTGCCATCCAAATTTCTTATTGATTTATTTTCCGCAGAGCAAGAAACTAATGGCTGACATTGGGGATATGATGAATGTCCAAGTTATTATTGAAGGGTCAATGAACAGTTCAAACCCTTATTTCTCTAGCTCTTGGAGGAGAAATTTTGAGGTATTTCTTTCACAATGATATCTGATGGTGTAAGTTTCTTTTTCTAATGCACAAGTTGTTCTGTCCAAGTATACGTTCTATTAGATTGATGGTAACTATTTTCAACCCATAGCTATACATATACTTCAGTTAATTAGAAATTAATAAATCATTCCTTGTTAAACTGAGAATATATGATGCCAGACACTTTCTCACATCCACTATTTCTTCTATGTTTTTCACATATGTGTAGAATTTCTACTCTTGGTACGAATTGTAGTATTTTGCTACGGTACTTGCATCTAGGGCTGCTACAGTAACTTTGATATCACAATTTTATTAGCATGAACAATTAACAAATACCATTGGTGGATATACCAATTTACAATAAGCACAACCTCACACAATAATTTCTCACTTTACTATTCACTCACGCCACTTTCCAATACACTCACAAACACTAATTTTTCTCTTAAATTCTATCTTCTTCATTCTCTCATTTTTCTCATCTTCACTCTACCTCTACCCTACACTACCACACTCTACCTCTTATCAACTCTTCATACCATCACACACCTTAGCCAAGCTAACCACAACCCCTTTTTATAGTTTATAATGTTTGTTTACAACAACAATATTGGAACCTCTAGTTAATGGGTGATTCCTCTTTTTTTGTCTTTTTGAACTTCATCAATATCATTAGTTCTTCAACATCAATTGTCCCTTTAGCATCACAAAATTCATCTATATCTCCTTGTTGCATAAAGAGTGGGCCAATAACCAGCTGCTTTGCACATAACAAGCCCACCCTTAAGTTGCTCAATCCCAACATTTTGTCCCAATTTCCCTAATTATTTGGGGTAGAGACATGCATTCTTCTTCTTGCATAGAAAGGCTATAATAAGTCCAAATAACATTCAAAATAGTTCATCTTAAAGGGATCCTTCAAGAAATAGGAAACAGGCTAGATTGCCAACTAACAGATCGCATGGACCCTTACAGTGAGATCAAAATTTAAAAATGATTTCCCAAATGACATGAATGCTGTTTGAGACCAATGCTTCAAAGCAGAAAATCCAATATAAATTAAAAACAGAGAACTAGAATTATTAACATTAGCTGAAACAAAAGAGCAAGGACCAGCCATGACCAGACAGAGTCTTCAATTTCACCAAGGAAAAAAGCCAAGTCAAAGTCTCGTACCATGCTTTGATACCCATATAAACCAGAACATAGAAGGGTGCAAGTAAAACATGTCTACTACTTCATCCAATGAGCAAATACTTTATGTTAACTATAAAACATACAGAATCAAATAAAGGCACTTAAACACAATTCCTTGCTATTCCTCTTGTAACAGTATAGAAAATACAGTTATATAATGTAGATGTTAAGTTTCTTCTGATTTTTACCTGTTACCTTGACAAGCAAATCTTTCTTTTCGGCAGGGAGGTTTTATTTTGGATATGGGAGTGCATTTCATTGCTGCTTTGAGGATGGTATGTCTCTGTTCCATTATCTTAGTGCCTATTTAACACTTGCCCTCTAACGGAAAGAGGAGAAAAGATACTGTGCTTCTCATAAGGATTATTCCTCTGCATATAAAGCTATAGCTGCTATTTTTCTGTGAAAATTGCAAGCATTATGCTTTGCGCAAATCAGGTTGATAAAACCTTATGATCAGGTTTTTATATGGCCCTATAGATTAATTTTGTTATTCAAATTACATTTTCTAACCATTGTTTTTGGTGGGGGTAGACAACATTAAGATGCAAAAATGAATTTCCAGTCAGCCATGCAATCAAGAGCATGAAAACTTAAGAAAACACATCAGAAGAAACCAATGCATCAACTTTTACAATTCCCCAACGTTGCTCCCTTAGCCCACTCTCCTGCCCAATGCAAATAATAAGAAAAAGAATATAAGGAAATGTTAAGTTAAGCTTGGATATTATTATTCTATGAAATGGTTCAATTTTTTTTAGTCATCGATAAATTGAGGTATGAGTTTCCTGTTCCTGCAAGCAGATGGTTGGTTCTGAAGTGGCCTCAGTGTCGGCTATAACCTCTCATATCGATACAACTTTACCTCCTCCAGACATCATTTCATCTAATTTGTAAGTTCCTTATGGATTAAAGTAGTTGAGTTTTTATCTAGAATATTATCTTAGAAATGAAAGGCTCATGGCTTTGGAATCAAATTTACTTGCCTCAGTAAGCTGGAGAATGGATGCTCTGGAGTTTTTGTTATGGTTGTATCTGCTAGTTCACCTAAGGTATGTGGTGAAGGATACTTTCCTAACGATTAATGCATACATTTGTTACATGGTGCTCATTGTTTTAAGTTATTTTAGATAATTTGGCGAGTTGTTGGCTCGAAAGGAACACTACAAGTTGAGCGTGGAAAAAAAGACGGAAAGCATGGTTATGTGGTAAATTGGAAACTAAATTTTTATTTCTGCAATGCTGATTCATTAGATGTTGAAACTTCTTAACTTTTCCTAAGATATATGGTTTCCTTTTTACTCCTAAAACTTCTTTTGAAATTCCTTGATCAATTTGTGAGAAATGACACCCGTCTTGTGATATTTTATTATGTTATCCCAGGTTGCACTATATAGTGCAGATGGGCAATGCAAAAGCACTTTCTACCCATTCAGTGGAGTAAACGAAGAATTAAAAGCTTTTATACATGACATTTTGCAAGCAAGCCTCAAGGTAATATATGAGTTTATATTCATGTATGTTTTGCCTGTTACATCATTCATTTCTCCACTTGCATACTGGTATTTCCGTTGCTATCAAGGGATGTTTAGCATCAGTGTCGCATGGAAAGGCTCATTTGGTCGTCTTACTAGGCTGTAGTGTTTATTGATTTAAAGATTCATTATTGTCATCAAAGTAAGCTTTTCCTGTCCTGGCATTGGATGAACATATGAGTTAATTTAACTTGACAGCAGTTTAATGCTGACTCTCACATTTCTTTATATGTTTTTGTGATTCTCTTTAATTCCCTGAACTATTCTGATAATTTCATTGGCACTTTATTTTTTGATTTGGGGAATGTGAGATTTGAACAGTCTTTGAGCAAGGCCTGTCCTGGCATTGGACGAAGTATGAGTTGATTCATCTTTGACTGCTGTTTAATGGGGACTGTCACATTTCTTTAAATGTTTTTGCGATTCTCTTTAATTCCCTGAAGTACACTGAAAATTTCAGTGGCACTTCTTTTTTTTGATTCGGGGAAGGGGAGATTTGAACAGTCTTTGAGAAAGGATAGATACACCTATCTTTGAGCCAAATGCTTAAGTGATGTTTTTCTTTTACTTTTGTATATAATTAGACAACATATTTGACTCTCCTGATTTCTTTTGGTAGTCATCTCTGGCTGAATAAATGTATGAATATTTATGAGCAATGCTAGCTTGTCTGCGGTTGTAACTCTTCAAAAGCCTTTCTAAACGCCACTTCCAAGATGCCCCTGATCCTTTTTTTCTTTGCTACAGAAGGAAAGTGGCTATGAAGCTGAACCTCGCAGCTCTTTTCTGGAAGGTGCCAGGGATGTAGCAGTTCTAGAGGCAATGCTCGAATCAGGATCCATGGGTGGAGCCTTGGTTCATGTGAAGAAATTTTAAGATCGAGCATGGCCTTGGACCTCTATTTTTTATCAGCAAGGATGTAATTGAGATAATTCACAAACTATTTTATAAGATTTTCAATTTAATGAAACATTTTGGAAAACATATATGATGACATTCAAGAACTCAGAGGAAACTTGTAACAATAAAGTTCATTGTAGAAACCATACAATTCGATTTAATTGAATAAAACTATTTAGATGTTTTATCCATCTCTGCACTACAGTTGTCAGCTCTCATGGTTCTTGATTCTTCTAAAGGAATTGAGAAATGAGTCAAGTTGCAAGTTGCATTGCATATCTTGAAACCATTAATGTGTCAGTCATTCCTCACTGGATGCCCCATGGACCTCCATTGGAGGCCCATAACCAGTACAGCTTGTGACTGTCCTAAGTGGGGAATGAGCTTCAGAGTAAGCAGCAGGGTCCATCCGCACCTTAAATTCACAAATGGGGCATGTGGTAATAATGTGGCAAACCTAACCGGGTCAAGCATAGAATGCCCACCAAACTACTTTAGGTTATTTTTTATTGTGATTTTTGCTATTTTTCCTTTAAGTAGTATTGCTTTTTCAAATCGCTGAAACTTAACGTCAACTCAATGTTGTAACTAAAAGAAAAAATAATAATAATAATTATTATCTTGAAGTTTAATTCAATTATTCATCATTTTAAAAAATAATATTTAATAAGTTTAAAATTTAAATCTTAATACTTACAACTCCTTCTCTTATTTATTTATTTTTAAATAATTCCTAAATAAAATTATTTAATTACTCTTTCTCAAGTCCCTTCTCATTTTTAAACTTTCATATTTACAAATTTCAAAACTTTTAGAAGTTACCAACTTTGTATTTTCAAAAAATTTTAAAGTTTTGTCTTATATCGTTTAAATAAAAAAAATTTAAAGATTAATATGCATAGTTTTGTCTATCAATTTGTAAATGAATTTATAATTATTTGAATAAATCATACTTTTTTTTATAATATTAAAAAGATTTTTCAGGATATGAAAAATTTTTTTCAATTAATTTTTTTCTTAAACTCTAAATATAATTTATTAAATAGGAAAATCCAATATCATATCCATAAATTATAAAATTTATCGGATATATATATATATCCAAAAACTTTAAAATTGAGATAAATAGGAATAATTAAATAATTTTATCTAAAGATAATTTACAAAAATAGAATAGATGTAAAGAGAAAAAATGTTGGTGCAATTATAAGCACCCAAAAATAATAATGGTCATAATAATAAGAGTTGTATTAAATGGTCCGGATTTTGAAAAGTCACCAGAAAAATGTTTGTGTTAGTAAATAATGCAACATTTTAAGGACAAAAATTGTGTTTTGTTCGGATTATTCCAGTCACTATAATTTGGGACTTTTTATCATCCTTCTAATAATAAAAAATTAAATACTCAATTAAAAATTTAATGTTTAGGTCAAATTTTAATTAAAGATATAATATTTAATATAATTCAATTTAAAATAAAAAAATTCCACATTTTTACTCTAATAAAAACGTTTTAAAGACAGTGATATATGCATACCATTAACTTTGTTAATTAAAACAGCTGATAAAAAAATGTAATAACTGATAAAAAAAACACACACACACATACACATATTTGATAGCTGACAAAAAAAAAGTTAGATGAAAAATTTTAATCTTGTTTTTCCTTTCATTTTCTTCTCCATAGTCGTAGACCCGAAAAAATGTTACGTAAGGGAATTGTAATACTAATAAATATATAATCCATGCAATAAATGCTGAGACAAATAAGAGGGTGCTGCTGGTAAAGAGAAATTGACAAGGGAGAATTTTTGCAGATTGTCCATGCTGGAGTGATGGCCGCCACTCTACATGTGCTTGACATTTAAAGCAAATCTGTTGAATTAAGAACCTGCATCCATCATTGGGTCCTCTTATAATTGCTTTACTTCAACTTTCCATTCAAATCAAAACTTCTGCTTTTTTTTTTTTTTTTTTAAATCTTCTGATTGTTAAAAGATCTATCTGAGTCAGGTTTCACCTGAATTATTTTATCTCTAAGCTTTTTATACTGACCTGTTTCTGACATGTTAAAGTGAGAGGCCATGCATGTCCAATTTTGCTGAACATCTTTCCTCCATTATCGTCATGTAATAATTCCAGTTGTACACACCTTTTATTATTACTATATCATAAATCTCATTCCACCCATAATCTGAAAACTGAAGACCTCCCACATAGAGGTTTTAGTTCTTAAAATCATAATAAAAAATCTCGTCAGCATATCTTAATTAATCTGTTAAAAGTTAATAATGTAAATACATGAGTAACATTGTTATCATTCGATTTAGTTATATTTTATATATTTATTATTTTGCTAAGTCATATATTCAAATCTGGTTTCTTAAAATCATAAAAAAAAAATCTCATTGGCTTATATTAATTTCTAGGCTAACTCATCCTAACTATTCATAATGATAGAATCTTCCTGTAGCAGTCAAAACCTACAGCAATGTAATAAAGGTGACAAAAGTACCATATGAAACAAATTATTTCTTTTGAGAACTAAAATGGGTCAAGGAATTTGAAGGAATGGATGATTCTAGGCAACCCTTCACTACAAGATGGCATATAGAATTCAAATGGCATAAACTTGCTTCTACCTCACTCTGGTGATGCTGTAATTGTAAAGATAGAAGCAGTAGATAAGAATTCTAGACATGTTCACATTCCAAAATAGATATCCAATGAAGAACTTGCCACTCTATTCCCAAAGCCGTGGACAACAAGTTACCAAAAGATTTGGAAGAAAGATGAACCCATTCAACATTTTGATCCTACTTACAAGACAAATCAAGATAGTACTGTGACAATTGAGTTTGATCACAGCAAAGGAAAAGATGTTCCTCCCCCAATTGTCTTTTTGACACAGTTCATGATACAAAGATGCCAAGCTGAGCAAAATGTTCCAGTTACACATTTTCAGACAAATGGAAAACCTATTTATGCATATAGATCTCCACAAGGACATTGCTATTAAGACATTGATTATAAATGCAAAGGATGTTAGAAAGATGCATATAGAAGCTTCCTTAATGATGATGATGATGATCCTCCGAAAAAGCAAAAGAAAAAGTCTTCCAAGCAAAAGCTGATAGAAAGATATGAAAGAGGAGACCCTGAAGTTGATCTCCTTGGATAACCCTAAAAAAAGTTTGACTATTATGTCATCTATCCTAAAAAGATAAAAAAACTAGAACCATTTCCCAAACCTTGCAAAATCCAAGCTTCTCAAAAATCAAATTCAAACTAACCTCTACCATAGATGTGCATGATACAACCAGGATACCCAGGACAGTCTTATAACTCAGATTTTCTTCATTTCTGAGAATTTCACAAAGATCAATACAAATACATTCCAAAAATTTCAAACCTCACTGACAAAGATGAATATGGAAACCAAAAAAAATGTTTATCGTACAAAAGCAGTTTTGAATTGGCAAACTAAAAATTTTCTCCAACAAAATGCATACTTGACCATAATAGAAAACAAGTTGGACCAAGTCAATCATAACTTCGTCCAAAGCCTTGTTAATCTTCATAATATTATTCTTGAAATCCAATCAAGGATAATAACTCTAGATCAAGAACTTAGATACATGGCTGAAACCAACATTGGATTTACCTATGCTTTCATAGAAGGAGAGAAAGAAATGAAAAGCCTTAAGATTCAACTTGCAGACTTTCAGAATTAGCTCCGTTAAAAACAATAGCAACAACAAACAACTTTTAGTTACAGTATCTTCAATCCCATCAACATTGGCATGTATGACACCTCCTACCAAGCTTACACTCTTCCTCTTTATCAACCATACAATTATCCTTTAACCTTACCCCTAAAACCTTTTTTCACACATTTTTCAATATAAACCTCCTCTTACAACACCCTTACAACCAAGAAAATACTTTACTCTGATTTTATATTACCAGAACAATCTCTCTTTGGCATAATTGAAAAATGGATTTATAGATTCAAAGAAAAATAATCAGTTGACCTAAAACCCAATAGAATTATATAACAATCACTTCTCAACCTCTAAAACCAAAACTAAGCTCCAATTCTATTGCTACACCCTCAAACAACACAAAACCAAAAACCTTCAATTCAATTGATGATCTATTCCATACCAAATACCCTTCCAGAAATGATACAACATATAACACAAGATAATATCCCTCAATTTTCTATTGAAGATATCTTTCCTACAACTTTTGAAATAGAATCTCAGATGGAAACTATTGAGTCAGATGATTCAGATGATACAATCCCTTAGATCTTCATGACAGAACCAATAGTTAAAGTTTCAGAAGACAACCCAGAAGTGCACAACCCTGATGCAATGGACACTGAACAACAACCTCTTCCAACCTAGATACATGTTTCTCCTTCAACATCAAAGTTCTTAGTCTTTACAAATGATGATATTTTTCCTTCAAAATGGCCTTCAAGATTTCAAGAATTCTTAGTATGGGGACTAGTTGAATTAAACTATAATCCCAATGTTATAATGAATACATTTTTAATCAGATTTGTCTCGAGACTAGTTGGAACCCTCAAAACTTTTTGAAACAATATTGGTGAATACAGACATCTATAGTTTTTTTAATGCCCAACTATTATAAAAGTTGTTTCTCAATTTTCAATAATTTTTTATGGCCAAGATACTCATAGATTAGAAAAGATCAGAGAATAATTCTTCAAATTTAAATGTTGTTCCCTTCATCTAAAAGATCTTGACAGACACTACCAACAGCTTTTTCAGTATTTTTATATACTTGGGGGATTCAATGATGTCAACCAAAAGCAAGCTTTTCTAAACTTTGTTCCATAAGAACTTGCACAGTAGACAAGACTTAACTGAACTCAACTTAAGATCCATTGATGTTAGAACTATGAATCTTGGTGATATCTATAAGAAGATATTAAAAGCCATTGATAAAATTTGCAAAGAGCACATATATATTACAAACTTGGTGAATAACTCTAGAAAGTTAGAAATACCATGGTTTTACTCTTCCTCTGGACTTTAGATAAAATGTTTTTCCAAGGACACTACATGTCTTTGTAGTCATAGAAAAAAGAAACACATCAAAAGATTTAGACATTCCAAAAACTCATATTTCTTCTAAAATAGAAAGCTGTTCAAACAAATAAAAAA